TTTCCTCTAGGAACCTGGAGTGGAAGCTTTATTTCACTGTAAGTTCTCTGTGACATTTTGCACTCCCTTGATTTAATGAACCAAAGAGGATCTTTAACTCTTGGTCCACACCAGTGCAAATAAAGGTTAAATCTCTCACTGGCCATCATGAACTAGCCTAATAACTCACGAGAGGCTATGGAGAGAGAACATGAAAAAAGCAGGTGTACAGACTTGATTAAAACGTCCAAAATCAGTGGACAACCGCAGGCAACGGTACTATATCCTTACACCTCCCCTAGCACCGCCAGGTCCGCAAGCAAAGGAACTTCAATGCGCCAAACACAGGATCCCCGCAAGCAGGGCCTGGTAACACAGGAGCTTTTCTGCCAAACAGTGACCGGACCGGAGCTTGCGCTGAATACCGGGGCTCCGATTGGCCACACGCCGTTGGGGAGGAGGAGACTGTTGGGGAGAGAGACAGGAGGAGGGGAGAAGGGGCCAAGGCCTTTTCCCTGCCCCCTCCCGGTCCCCTCCATCGGCCGCCGCGGGCGCCTAGTGCGTGGTTACTATGCAAATTGCAGCGATTGCGGAAATAAACAAGGGCACAGGGAGAGGAGAGAGGGACTGCGAATCGACTGCAACTTCTACAAAGTCTCATATAAATCCAAAGCACAAAAGGCAAAAGCAGAGAGAATCTGAGAACCAGCCAGCCCGGGTTGGATCGCTTTCAAAAGAGGAGAGAGAGAGAGAGACAGTGAGAGAGGCAGAGAGCGCGCGTTGCAATTGCAAAAGCCTTCTGATTTGGAGAGAGAGAGAGAAAAAAAAATCTCTAAGAAGCCTGCAATTGGCCAACAGCTTTAAAAAAAACCTCTTCCGGGTTTTCAACGGTTCCAAGTTTATTTAGATTTTTTTTTAATGCAAAAATAAAGGGGACAACAAATGAAGCAATTCGTCTGAACATTCTAAAGTTTCTCACGTACTCTTTTTACATTGCAATGGTACGTGGTACATCTTAAACTTTCTCTTTTGCGTTTATACGGATATGCGTTTTATAAACAACAATAACGGTAGAATGGTTTTGTTTAATGGCTAAAACTAAAATTTCTCTAGCTTGCATATGCATTTAAGTGGTTGCTGGGTAATGTCTATTGTGATGGTTTTGTTTTAAAGATGTAGCTTTGTGGATGGCTTTTTTGCTATGTGCATCTGAGACTGGGTTTCCTTTTTTACCCCCCTGAGATTTGAAAAAATTGCTGAGCTTGACAGATTTTTTTTTTTTTTTTTCCTTCTAGCGCTTGCTCCGTTCCAGAAACACGGTGGTGGGGGGAGGTGGTAGGGGGGGAATCCTGTACGTGCTGCTCTGTTCTGTAAAAAGGCGTCTGGCTTCAGCAGTCAACCTAACCCGAAAAGAAATGTCTGGAGAATAATTGACGATTCCATCCTCTAATCAATGGGACAATAGGGGAGATTGACAAAAGTTTTATCCAATCAGGAGAGAGCTCGGGTTCGCAATTGCCAGAGGGGGAGGAGCAGAGGATCTGAAGTTCTCTGCTGCTTTGAAAGGGATGGTGTGGCTCAAGCTGTCAAAGCTACAAGCTCTTCCGGATTTTAGTAAGCACAATAGGAAAGAGTTTTCGAGTTTAAAAAAAGAGAAGAAAAAAAAAAAAACACGGATGGGGGATTTTTGCATGAATCTTATGCTTTCTTCGCTGTCGTACTGGAAAAGTTAGAAAATTTCTGCTAGAGAAATATTTAACTTTGCATGGATTATTATTTTTAAATTCGGAAAGTTGTTAGTAACTGCCATGGGAGGTGAGGTTCAACTTTTAAAAATGTTCAACTTTTTAAAAACTTCCCTAAATTATGGGACTGTCGTGAGCTTTGGGAAGTAGTATAGTGCATATTCAGCATTACAAAACTTCTCTGATTATCTTAGAAGCTTTGGCTTTTCCAGTACGTTGGAGGAATAGGCAAGCCTCCCTTTTGGAAAGTCTAAACAAGTTTTAAGGACCAGAGAATGTTTCACAGGTGGACTGACAAGCTGTTTTTTACATTTGAAAGAAAGGGAGAGAAAGTAATTTTTCTTGACTTCTTTTGAATTCTGCTGTTTAAATATATGGTCAGTAGCAAATAGCACATCAGGACTGGCCAAATTCACATTTCTTCTTGTTACTACAACAACCCCCGTGGAGGGTATGTGTGGAAAGTTGCTGACTGGCTGACTCTTAGCTGGAATCTGGCCTCTTGGACAAGTCTTTGACACCAATCCAGTGGAAACCTACTGCAGTAGCTTATCTTGGAGACAGTCACTGGCAGCCTCTGCCTAAAATATATCCATCTCTTCCTTTCCTCTGAGCAGAGTAGACACTTAATTCTGTTAAGGAGTGAGTAGAAAATAATATGGGCTCTTTCCCATCTTTGTATTATATCCCATGGAGCTGTTTCCCAAGGCTTTAGGCCTTCTCATCAACTCCAGTTCGGGAATGTGATGTAAGAATCCACTTGCATTCTCAGTTCAACAACATGATTCCATTTAGGAATATAAGCACATAAGAAAAATCTGCACCCATGTGACCAGTCGGTAGAAAAAATAAACTAGAGAAGAAAAATGTTGAAAAATGCTAGTGATAAAGTCAGTCTTGGTAAGAACTACAGTTAATGGTGTTGTCACTTATGAACCCCAATTTTACCTTTACTGCTTTGGGCATTAAAAATCTAAATCATATTAATAAGATCTCCCTATTAAGTGACCTCTAAAATGAGAAGTATTTGAGATGTACATATAAGTGAAACCTTATTGACGTAATTTATATATCTAAGAGGATTTCACTAAAACTGGCAAGGTAACATTTCTGCAAATAAAACACAGCAAATGCAAGGCTGGGCTCGGTGCCAGGAAGAATATGGATAGCCAAGAGCATGACAGGAGCCTCTTTTGCACGGAGACAACCCCATTTCAAGGCAGCCTCCCAGCACTTGCAAAATAAATGATCGGAGCGGTTATTTCCAATAAGGGGGTTTATCCTTCCTAACAATAGGGCATTGATATGATTGCAGTAAACTAGTTTTCCTACTTCACCTGTGTTTCCTATACTGTTTTCTATGTCTTCCCTCTTCTTTCTCTCCCCGTCCCCCCTTCCTCCCCCCCCCCCCCCCAATCCGTGCTCACTCTCTCAGTGTCTTAGTATCTTTGTGAACTCTGGACAAAAAGATTTACTTTTGCAACTTGGGAAGGAGGGGAGAGAGTTGGAAATGTTTTTTACCCCCAGACTGCCCTCTGAGAAACATCTGTTTCTTTGTGTATTTAAATTTATGCCTGTTGGAGAGAAAGTTACCAGAAGCCTTTTTGTAACTGTAACTCTTCTACTGTATTTTTCTCAGTCGCGTTTCCAAAGGCTGTAGTTGGAACTGTACTTTGTAGTGTTTCCCCCGCCTCTCCCTCCCCTCCCCTCCCCCATCCTCCCGCGGGGGAGGGAGTGGGAGTTGGCGGAGATAGGAGAGAAAGCCGGAGCGGATGTGAAGGGCTTTGGTGCTGAACTTGGATCCAGCCCTTGCCTAGAGGGCGCAAACAATCGTCCCAAATCCAAAAGTCTTGCGAAGGGCGCCAAAAGTTACTTAAGATAATATTGCTAACCACAGAAAGCTGGAAATCGCGGGCACATCCACTGCTGCAACAAAAGAAGTTTTTAAAGTCGAAATATCAGCATTAAATTACTTTTCCCCATTCTTTTTTTCAACAAGGGCGACGTGCCAGTTTTTTTTTTTTCTCTTTCTTGAGATTCAATTAAAAGTAAGAATCTTTGGTATTTTGGAAGGAGGCAGATGTGAAGCCTATCTTTAAAAAAGAAAGATTTTAATCTGCTCTGGAAGACAGCTTCCCAAGAGTGCACACTTGAACAATAACTTCTCACTGTGCCTCAGTTACATGTTGGGACTGTCAGCCAGAAATGTCTATCGAGGAAACTTGGAGCGCCTTGAAGTTATAGATCCCAGCAAAGGTTTTTGTGGCCAGGGATTTTTTTGTCTCTGTAACTCCGGCTTTGCTTTTAGGACATTTTCCCCTACTGGAATCCAAGAGGAACTAAGGAAAAGCAGTTGTTTAGTTTGGAAAAATGGGACTCTCTTATGAAAGGTTTAAGCCATTATTTCCCCTCACCTCTTAATAAATAATCTGAAAGATGTCCAAGAATATTTAGAACCGGGAGTGTGAAAATGGTCTCTTGAACATCCAGGATTTATTTTAGCAATAAACTAACTGGAGGACAAGCATAAAATAATTTAGTCAAATGCAGAATATTTCCCCTGTGCCAATTTTGTTGCCCCTCCATTTAAAAAAGGGGGGGAAGGAGCCCAAATGAGAATGGCCTTTAACACCTCACCTGACCGTCACCTGCAGAGTGGGCATTCCTACAGTGAATTTTCCTCTTTTCAGAGGCTAAGCTATGTAACTTCTACCCAGGTGTAGATTCCCCTGACTGTGTGCCAGTGTCTTTCAATGTGATACACTCCTCTTTCCTTTCGGAATTTTGAGAAGGATCAGCAGATGCAGCAGGCTGCAAACTAGCCTGAGAGAGACATGGGGAGAAAAAGGTGGGATGGGAGTTTGGATGAAGGATATATATATATATATATATATATATATATATATATATATATATATATATATATATATGATTTCCCCCAAGGTAGGGAAGAGAGCCTAGAAGAGAAAATATGAGGTTAAAAAAAAAAACTGGAAAAGCAGGCTTATTTGGCAACTTGCCAAACCCTAAAAACCACCCCCCTTTTCTGCCAAAACAATACTTGAGCAGACCTAAAATAATTGCAGGAAGCTCTTTTCCATTTTAAGAACTATTACCTGGGGGAGGAAAAAGGGGATTCTTAAAAGGCACCCGGTCCAGCGGTGTTCCAGGCACAGGGACAGTAATGAGAGCCTGTGTCCAGTGCTGGGCACGCGTTTGTGGACCAGAATCATCTCTCTTCCCGCAGGAGCCATCCCTTTTAACAATTTTTTTTCCCCTAAAAAGAAAAAGATGTCACAGCTACCCCACTGTTGTTTCTGAACGTGATAGAACTTTTTTCTATGGCGTCTGTGTTCAAACCCACTTAGTTTCACAGTCCTGGGAGGGAGAATGCTCATTAATCTCCGCCTCCCTTTCTCCCAGACAACCCCCACCCCACCCACTCCTAAATCCGGCGAATCTTCTGTGTGTGAAAATTTTCTCTACCACCCCCGCTCCTGAATGCCATCGGACTTCAGTGACACAAAGTTTGCAGGATTTTGTGCATCCTTACGTCTGCCGACAACGATCTATTTTCGCAGAAAGCTTCCTCGGAGAGATCGCAAGGCTTTGCAGCCATACCGCATTTCAGAGGAGAAGAAAGTTACCTAGGAGGTCCGATTTAAAAATAAATAAATAAATAAATAAATAATTTGCATACATGCAAACGGACCCTCAGGCCTCGCCCCAGGGTCTCCCGGTGCCCACGACGCGAACCGGGGGATACCCCACCTGGCAAAGTTGCCAAAGTCCTCCCCCCTCACTCCCCGCCCCCCCGCAGGTCCGCGAAGGTCTGCGGCGGGAGTGGGGGGATGGGGATGAGGAAAAGTAGTTTTGTTTGCTTAAGCACATCCTGTGGCAGCCTATAGCTGCCCGGGAGGACAGACTGTCACCGCTCCTCACTGCGTCCCCCAGTAATGCGCTGAGCTGGGGACGGGCTGGGGGGCTGCTTGGGGGGGAGGGGGGCGCGCGGTGGGACGGGAGAGCCAGCGAGCCAGGGCGCGGGAGAGGGAGCGAGCGAGCGAGCGAGCGCGAGCGGCCGCGGAGGCTCGGACCGGGCTGGCCGCACGGCGCCGCAGCCGCCCCCTCCCCCAGTCCCCCCCCCCCCCGCCCCCGGCGGCGGCGGCGGCGCGAGCGGGCGCGGCCGTGCGGTGCGGTGCAGAGCGGCGGCGGCGGGCGCGCGGGCAGCTCACGGGCACCCGGCCGGGCGGGCGGGCGCGGGCGCGGGAAAGGGTGCGCTATGCCTTTAACGCCCGCGTACAGTAGGCATGTATAGTGGAGTGTAGGGAAACTCTAGGCGGGGTTAAAGTTCAGCTCATGGAGCGGCACTAGCGCTGGCTGGCTGCAGTTGAGCCGAGTTGGAAATGTGAACGCAAGAAGCAGGCTTGATTTTTTTTTTCTTCTCCCCCTTCTCTCTCTCTCTCTCTCTCTCTCTCTCTCTCCCTCCTCTCCTCCTCCTCTCTCCCTCTTTCTCTCCTCTCTCACCACCCGCACTCACGCACACCTTCCAACCCGCACACCCAGACGCACACGCACAGCCCACCGCCCGGCAGTTATGTATTCTCCGCTCTGTCTCACCCAGGTAAGCAGCTGTTTGGATGCGGAGGGGCCGGGGGCCGGGGGGCTGAGTAGGGGCTGGGTGGGCAGGGGGTGCCGGGGTCCGACACGTCGGCTGGGCCCGGGGCATGTGTCTTGGTGTTGTGTGCCCATGTCTGCGTGTGTGTGTGTATGTGTGTGCGCGTGTGTGCTCGTGGGGAGGGGGGAGGAAAGGGGGAAGAAATACAGCTTTCAGAAAGTAACTTTGTTTCCATGCGGGTGCATTCCTGCTGCACGGCCATTTGTGTGGGCACATGGCTAATGGCGCCCTCTTATTAATGCGTTAATTAATATCGGGGCGCCGGACTGCGGAACGGCGGTGCTCTCGGACGCCCCGCACGTGTTCCCGCGGGCTGCAGCCCATGACACGCTGAAATCTGGGCTCAGCGTTTCTGCAGCCGCGGGGCCGGCGCCCGTGGCTCCGCAGCGCCCGGGGAGGGGGCCGCCGACGGCGCCCACCGCGCGCCCCGCCGCCTCGCGCGCTGCGGGCACCCGGAGCCCCCGGCGCGGGAGGACCGGGAGCCCCGCGCGCCCGCAGCCCCGCTCCTGGAGCCCCGCGCCGCCGCAGCCACCCCAAAACTCTTACTTTTGTTTATTGTTTGTGAGCCTTTGGGGTTCAGCCGCGGGAGGGACGCGGGCCCGGTGTCCCCGGCCCCGGGCCCGGACAGCGCCCCTCGGACGCGCGCGGGCGGCGGGGAGCCGGCCCCCGGGCTCCGCGGAGCTGGGCTGTGGGGACGCGCGGGCGGAGCCTGCGGTTCTGGCCGCTCGCCTCCCGCTCGCTCTCCCGAGTGAAAGTTTCGGGGCCGGGACGAGCCCACGCTGCCAGCGCAGGTTGGCGAGCGGCAGAGGCCGCGGGCCGCGGGGCCGGGGGACGTCGGGCGGAGTTGGGCTCCCGGCCGTGAGCCCAGGCGGCGGCCCGGGCCAGACGTGGCTCCCCCCGCCGCCTCCCGCCACCGCCTCCCGCCGCCGCCGCCGCCGCCGCCGCGCGACTCGGCACGCTCTGCGCGCAGGACAGGGGCAACTTTCCTCCCCGATCCAACTCGGAGCGTGGGTTCTTTCTCTCCCCACCACCCCGCCTCTTCATGCCCTCCCTGTCCACCTCTTCGTGGTCTGCACCACCCCCAGGCAACATATTGTTACTTCATGGCTCCAAATCTGGTTCCTTTTGAATGTATTATTTTCTTGGACTCAAAGGCACGAAGTCAAAAGTGATTTTGCGGTGGGGAAGGGAGGCGGGGGAAGAAAAAAAGGAAAGGAAAAAAAAGTGTGAGCCTTCATACTGTTTTGGTACATGGCGATCTGACCATTAATCACTTGCATGAAGTTGTATGCTTCTTATAAAATGTTTATTCACCACTCCCTTAAAAAAAAAAAAAAAACACCAAAAAAAACCAGCTACCACTTCTTGCCTTCATTTTGCAGGAGATAACGGTTTAATCCGAATACTTTCTGGAAGGCTAAAAAAGTATCCATAGATATTCCTCCCCTCTGTAGAGTCTGGATTTATTTCCCACATGACATCTCTTCCTATTGCAATATCTAACAATAAAAAATACTGGTTATTTGATCTCAGAAGACTCTTAAATGCATATTTTATGTTGAAATGGTCTGTTTAGGATTTAGGCCTAGTATTAATAATGGATAGCAGTTGCTTTTAGTTATTGTAAAAGTTTTTATTTTTTTTTTATTTTCCTCTAAGAAACTTCCAAAGTTCCTATTTTAGTAACTTGTGGAAGTATGGAGTGAAACTTTTAAGCCACTCTGGCCAAGTTCACAGTTGCATATGGATAGGATGCAAAGTGTAAGATAATTTGAATGAGTTGCAAGGACCACAGTGAAAATGCTGAGATTCAAAGACTGAAGTTCCAGCTGACAAAAGTTTGCAACACATAGAACTTGTAGATAATACCAGTGTGCTGCAATAATAGGATACATTAGCGTCTTCTCAAGTGAGCTCTCAAAATTAAATTTATAGTTTTGAGATGGTGCACATAGGATACCTGTGTATCTATGTAGGCCCAGGGCATAGTTATTTATTTAACAAAGTTGGATTTTCTTGGTTTGTGAGCTATTATCACATTAAGAAAGTTTTTTCTTCTTCTTCTTCTTTATACATATTTGGCAGCATGATTGATGCATTCGCTAGGCCTTCTTCTGGAAGCACCACTAAGAGAAATGCTAACTTAGTGTATCAGTTTGTGAAGAAAACATATGCTAAATAGCAAATGAGGGCCATATATTTTATGATTTCTTCTTTTAAAAATTGATTTTCAATTTATTTAACTTGATAGAATATTTATGGAGCTTTAGAGCCAATTTTTAAAAAGAAAAACTTAGGTAGCTTATTGGTCTCTAAAGAAAATCCAGTAAGCACAGTGATAAAAGTACCCTCAATGAAAGAATAAACTCCATATATGTGTGTGCAATTTTAAAACACTTTATTAGAAAAATGCTAGGCATCTTATTTTAATATACAGGCATATCATAAGCAAACCATGTACCTGGCCACAGAATGATAACACAGTAGAAATACATAGGTGAACATTTGAGAAGTAGTCCCAGAAATGCCAGCATTCAGTGGTTCTTAAACTTGGCTTACTTACAAACTGATCAACGTTTAAGGTGCTGATTCAAAGTCATATCGCTTTGGAAACAGGTTTTCAGGTTTGTTTTTACTGGTGGACAGTAACTTTCTCACTGAGTGCATATGTAAAACCTCCTTTGTTTTCTCTTGACTATTTTGAAATATTGCATAATTTATGGCTCTATGTGCAGTAACATTATTTGTAAAGGCATACTATTTTTTTTTTTTTTTAAAGATCTAATGTATGCTATACCTGGACATTTCCTACAAGTTAATGATATTCTTTAGTTCTGATGTTCTGGAATATTTCTAATTGTGAGTTGAGAAAAATAACTAGCACTCTAATGGTGCATGTGTGTAAAGTTATACAAAATGCTGTGCACTTTTATTGGCACATCCTTGAAACCTTTGAAGAGTAATAAGTTGTAAAAACTTTTGATGCAAAAATGAGGACTTAGATTATTCTTAATGTTTAGTTGATATAGTTGACCTTATTTAAGGATTTTTGGGATGGGATAGATGGGCATTGGGTTGGCAGGTACACAAAATCCTCTTGAACACGAATGAACGCAGTTCTCCGCTCTCTGAGAAACATGTTGGGAGTATCTTTGAGCACTTAAATGCCATATTAGAATGCTTGTTTAAAAAGTTTATTATTAATAAAGCTTTTTAATAAGAGAATGTTTTAGCATAAATGTGAATTGTTTGGGACTATGCTATTCTTTGCGTTATAAAATAGGGCTGAGACTTTAAAATGAAATCCTCCCTTTGGTGAAAGCTCACTTTGTAGTTAAGGTAGGCTCCAGGAGTTCTTTGCAGAAAGCCATAGAGCCTTGGTCCCTAGCATGTCCGTCCTATGTTTACAATAAAATCAGTCAATGTGAGGGACCATTTCAAACTCCAAATTTATGTATTTTAGAGCATTTCAAGGATGAGCTCAGAATTTAGTAATGTTTAAATGCTTTGTGGTGTGGCATGTCTCTTAGTAGATAAACTGTGACTTGAAAATTGCCATCCCCGGACCCCTATTTCTCTCTTCTAGAGTATGGCAGTAAGAAAGATTTTTTCAAACATCAGAAATTGAAAAATGCCAAGGGTTTTTGGTAAAGGATAATATAATTCTTGTATTTTTTTTTTTCTGTTCCTTCTTCACTTAAAGAAGGCTCACATGTTACAAAAGCTGACTTCTTGGATTCTTTTATTGAAAAAGAGCAGTTTTCAAAGTTAAACTTGAAATGCAGAGACTGAAATTTAGTCAGAGAGAAAAAAAGGAAATCTTATTTATTGAAATGATTTATTATGTATTTAATTAATATATACTTTTCAAAACAATAATATGTGTTTAGATGATTTTTTTGTAATTTATAATATTTTAACAGATTTCATTATTAAAATATTTTTACCAGTTTTAACCACTCAGTTTACATTTGAACTTTAAAAAATTTAATAATTTTTAATAGTAGTAGTATTTTGGACACTGCAGTTAATTCTGTCTCCAAAGTATATCTTTAGCTGGATATTATGAACTGAAAAAGAATGCATTTTATAATGTTTGTCTGCCCTACACCCTTTAAAAAAGTCATCGAGTATCTCTTTGATTTTCTTATTCTCATTTATTTGAAAGTAAATAATTTATCTTTTTGGGGGGGTTGTTCGGCAGAGAAAAGTTATGTAAGATTAGTGTGTGTTGGTTAATCAAAAGTTAAATGTACTGAGAAAGCTTTGTGGAGGTTATTGTTTAATTTTTTAAAATTTTATTTTTATATTTACTAAGAAAATGTCAAGTAAAAAGAATCAAACATCTTCAGTAAAACAGTAAGAAAAATTTAAATATTTTAAATTCCATTTTATTTTGAAATTACTTGAATTTTAAGAGGCTACCATGAAGGTTTTCCTGGAGTCTCATAAACATTGAATATACCAGGTTCTCCTTTATTTTCTGTGAGAAAAAGCCTGAAGTATTATTTTCAAAAGTTAAATAATTATTTTGTGTTTTTGAGGGATGATCATTACTGAAGGCATTTCACAATCATATCAGTAAATTAAATGTATTTAGTTGCAACACTGTTGTCACAGTGACACATTCTGTTTACTATCTGGAATGTACGCTTTTCTTTGTGTGTTCTTTTCCCCCTCTCTGCCCCCTTTTTGTTTCATTCCCAGAGTCTCAGAAATTATGCCTTGAAGATAGATCTTTTATTTTAGCCTGATGAATATCAGATTCATCTGTTCTTTTGTATGTGATTCTCTGCTATATTTTTCTAAGTTTTTGACTAAAAATATTTATGTACAACTGGAATACTTAAAAAGGAATTAAGATATTACCCAAATGACTAAGACAGAGATCAGCGTCTACATGCAGTGTTTTTAGAGGGAAAGTCTTTATTTTCATTGATCGCAGAGACGATTTCTGCTCCTAGACTTCCACAAACATTGACTGGCATCTAAATGTTTCGGATTTGCCAATCTGGCGGCTGAACCCTGGCTGTACTACAAGTAGTGAGGTCAAGGCTGGAGCAAAATTAGATATGCCTTCCTTGAAATAGGGTTAAGATTGTATATTGTTATAAGCATTCCGATAAACTTTACTTACCAGCCAAAGGATTTGCAACAAAGACTGGACCACAGAACCTGGGATGCTTCGGTGACTATACCAAAACATTCTTTAATTTTTTAGCCATTTTCTTCTTTGAGGTTGTGAGAAGTAATACCGGTCGCTTTCTTTTTTTCCCCCCTCACAGACTTCCCATAGGGATTCTTCTACATACGATTTTGGTAATTTAATCCTCGCATCAAATTTCAAGTGAAATAAATATTTTTTTTGAAGGTGACCATCTTAAAAAAAAAAAAAAGTTGTTTCTTTTTGTTTTCGGTGGTAGTCACACTTTTGTTTCTATTCATTTCCCTAGGATGAATTTCATCCTTTCATCGAAGCCCTCCTGCCCCATGTCCGAGCCTTCGCCTACACATGGTTCAACCTGCAGGCCCGAAAACGAAAATACTTCAAAAAGCACGAAAAGCGCATGTCAAAAGAAGAAGAGAGAGCCGTGAAGGATGAGTTGCTAAGCGAAAAACCAGAGGTCAAGCAGAAGTGGGCATCTCGACTTCTGGCCAAGTTACGGAAAGATATCCGACCCGAGTACCGAGAGGATTTTGTGCTTACAGTTACAGGGAAAAAGCCTCCGTGCTGTGTCCTTTCCAACCCAGACCAGAAAGGCAAGATGCGAAGAATTGACTGCCTCCGCCAGGCAGACAAAGTCTGGAGGTTGGACCTGGTTATGGTGATTTTATTTAAAGGTATTCCGCTTGAAAGTACTGACGGCGAGCGCCTTGTAAAGTCCCCGCAGTGCTCCAACCCAGGGCTCTGTGTCCAGCCCCATCACATAGGGG